TATATCGCACGGTAAACTAATCGTGGGACAAGAGATATCTGTTGCCAAACCAATTAACAGAAATATGTTGTAGATTGAAAATGGTTAATTTAAGTGAAAAAGATCATAACAAAATATTAATGATCATTGGTAATGGTGATCGCGTCGTTATAACTTATAAGGAAGTGTGTAATATTTGTAATGATTTACATTCTGAACGAAATCCCATATCACGTTCAACGATTACTAAAACATTGCGTTTTAACGCAACGGGGATGATCAAAAATTTACTAAAAACTGGAACACTCCGACCCACAACGAACGAAGTTATTAGACAAAATATTGCAATTGATTTGGGGAACTCGCCTCAAACTTCTACAACAAATTTGGAACTAAACGATATCATACGTCGACGTTCTGCAAGGAAAATATTGAAAATTGAAAAATTTAAGATACACGACTTTGAATGACGAATAGAGCTTTGCGATCAACTGATGGACAAATATAATGACAACTATCATTTTGCAGCTAATGTAGTGGCGAAGATACACCTTACACCAACTTATTATGTAGGGAAAGATAAAAAAAAGAGAGAAGCGTAGAAAAGATGACTGCTCAACCTGAAAGAGTGGTACGGATATCCATAAAGTGAACTTTTCAAGGCAGCTCCCTGTAAGTCTGAATTGCTATAATGATTGCAGACCTCCGTCACGGAGATGGATGGCACTTGAAGAAGAAGCAGTGTTTTGTGATGAGACAATAACTCTAGTCATAACTCTAGATATTGATCATCATCATCATAATTCTGGCTTTACAACAATGCGTGGGTCCTAGCCTCCTCAAGAATTTCTCTCCAGTCGTCCCCATCCATCGCTTTTCTCCGCCAAGGACATATTCCCATATTTCTCATGTCTTCATCGATGTTATCAAGGAACCTTGTTCTTAGTCTTCCTTTTCTTCTCTGACCAATGGGTCTATCAAGGAACCTTTTTCTAGTTGGGTCTTTTTGTTCCATCCGCCTTACACGCCCTATCCACCTCAGACGTCCTCTCTTAATATTTTTTACGATATCAGGTTCCTGGTATATTCTATAAAGTTCTAAGTTGTATCGTCTTCTTCACACTCCATTGTCATTCACTGCTTCATAGATTCGCCTTAGTACATTTCTTCGAAACATCCTAACATGTTTTCATTTTTTTTTTAGTGTCCAGATCTCTGAAACATATGTTAGGACTGGGCGTATTACTGTTTTGTAGAGTTTTACTTTGTATTTCTCAATATAACTGAGGATTTAAGAAGATTAAAAAAAGCCCAAAATAGCATCTGTTGGCCGTGGAAATTCTGCGGTTTATCTCTGCGGTAGTATTATTTTCAGTGTTAAGGAGCGCTCCCAAGTATACAAATTCGTTCATTGCTTCGATGACGTCGTTTTCTATACCAAGTGGTCGTACGATTTGTGGTGCGTGCTTATTTTCATATACTTCGTTTTGTTCGTGTTTATTATAAAGCCCATTTTTGTAGCAGATTCTTTTAATGCTACATATGCCTCTCGTACAGTGTTTTCCGTTCTAACAACAATATTGATATCATCAGCATACTCCAGGATTTGCACTGATTTATTATATATTGAACCAATGGTTGTAATTTGTGACATACGTATTATTTTTCCAGAGCCAGATTGAACAGTATACAGGAGAAAGGGTCTCCCTGGCGCAGCCCGTTATTTGTTTTACAAGGTTCAGACAGTTCCCCCTGGATTCGTACTCTACATTCAACTTTTTCAAGAGTTAGTTTTGTTAAATTTACCAACTGATTTGGTATTCCTAGCTCTTTCATTGCTTTGAACATTTCTCTTCTATTCACAGAGACGTAGGCTGCTTTGTAGTCTATAAATATGTGATGAGTATCAATGTCTACAAAACTGCATCGATCAACGAAAGGATATAGTCATAACATTCCTTGATTATGAAAAAGCGTTGATACCGTAAAACATGACCGAATTGTTAAAAATGCTACACAACGCTAACATTGACGAGAAAGATATAAGAGTTATCCAGAATTTCTATTGGAATCAAAAAGCACGAGTGAGACTGAATAAATCAACCAACAAAAGAATTTGAAATTTTAAGAGGGGTGCGACAGGGGTGTATTTTGTGGTCCTATGCTCTTCAATCTCTATATGGAGAACATTTTTGCAGAGGCACTGGAAGGCTCTGAGTGTGAAATAAAGGTAAACCGGTTTCCGATAAATAACATTCGTTACGCTGACGACACCGCGATAATAACAGACAACGAACATGATATGCAGTTGATGTTAAATAAAATAAACACCGTAGGAAAAATATATGGCTTGAAGATAAATGCTGGAAAAACTAAATGCATGGCAATAAAAAAAACGCACTTTTAAGAATACAACTGCAATAGATAGTGCTCCAATCGATCAAGTAAAAACGTTTAAATACTTGGGAATGATGATGAATAACCAATGGGATTCTCAACAATAAATAAAATGCCGTACCGAACAAGCAAGACAAGCTTTTATCAAATTTAAACCGCTACTATGTAACCGCAATCTTTCCTTTAATCTCCGCTAGAGGATGGTTAAATGCTATGTATGGTCCATATTGTTATACGGCATGGAAACATGGACGTTAAGAGTACCTTCCTTTAATAAGTTGAAGGGCTTCGAAATGTGGGGGTTGCGAAGAATGTTCCGCATATCATGGACAGATAGGGTGAGAAACGAGAAAGTCTTAAGAAAGGCTAATACTGGGAGAGAACTACTCAAACAAACAAAAATTGGATACCTCGGTCATAATCTGAGAGGAAAAAAATACACAATCCCTCAACTGATCATCCAGGGAAAGATTGAAGGCAAGAGAGGAGTAGGTCGCAAACAAATGTCGTGGCTACGGAACATAAAAAACTGGACAGGCATAAATAACACTGGCGATCTTTTGCATGCCGCAAAAGACAGACGTACTGTGGAAAATATACGCTGCATTCAAAGATATCTCCTTTTTTGTGTATGGAGCAAAGTATTTCAATATTAAAGTCACTGAGGAGGGATTTATGTGTCCATATTTCTTTTATAAGCTGCTGTAATGCCATTGTGGTATCATCTCTAGATATTGAACAAAAGAAAATCCTCATTGGAGTCATGAATATATAGTCTTTTTAATATATTCGTTAACGACAATATTTTCTGTTTCCTAAATAATAATTGTCTAATGTTGGTAGATGACTTTTGGAAAGTCATAGATAGTCTAAAATACAAAGCCTTGTTGCAAGATGACTTAAACTGACTACAAAATTGGTGCAATCAGAACAAACTCCACTTAAATGTAAAAAAAATGTTGATTTATAAGTTTTTCTCGTAAAATTCATATAGTCGAAACAAGCTATACTACTATTAATCGGCCACTGAACTATGTTTCTTCTATTTGGGATTTGGGTGTTATTTTCGATGTTACTTTATGTAACCACATAAACACTATTTCAATAAAGGCATCTAAACGTCTCGATTTTGTTACTAGGAAGTGCATGTATTTCTCCTTTGACTTAACAAGATTAGTGTATTGTTCCTTAGTTAGAACTAGTTTGGAATACTGTTCAGTTATTTGCTCACCTATTTTCAGAACTATATTGATACGTTAGAAAGAGTCCGGCATATATTTTTAAGATATTGTGCTTACCATGCTCACACCACTATTGAAAATCATGTTTATTTTCCTGTCGAACAACAATTATCTTCACCCTCACTCAGGAACCGTCGTGATATGTCAGGAGCTATATTTATATATAAGATCCTACATGAATTTATTGATTGTCCAAACTTGTTAAAGCTAGATTAACTTTCCATGTTCCCCATCAAGCTCTATGTTAGCACAATGTTTTCAATATTCCTTTCTACAGAATAACCTACGGTATTCACAACCTATTGGATAGATACATGGGGCTATTAAATGATCTCGATTTTGATATTTTCAGTATAACTTTAACTCAGTTAAAAAGATCTCCTATTTTGTGATATGTATATTGGTATTTTTGAATTTTGTTCTTGTTATATTTTGTTTATTTTTATTTTTTAGTATGTAAGATTTTTAGGTTCATTTTTAAAACTTTTTGATATTGATTTTATATTATAATTGCAAGCTTTCAATCCTAACTGTGATATTGTATTGTAATTTAAACTGCTGGGCCTGCAAGTAAATGAGGAGAAAACTAAGATAATGGCATCAACACCCAACAATAGAGCCAGAAACATCGGCCACCAATTCACTGTTGATAACTCTACCTTTGAAGTGGTGGACAAATTTACATACTTAGGCTCCCTGATCACAAAGGAGAACGTCATGACGGAAGAAATCAAGCGAAGAATAATCCTAGCCAACAAATGCTATTTTGGATTGAGTAGACACAATATGAGAGAAATGCAGAAACTTAAGCCAAAAAACAAAAATAACCATATACAAAACCTTTATACAACCAGTGTTGACATATGGATCAGCGACATGGACCATCTCCAAAGCAGATGAAAACCTCCTAATTATATTTGAACGAAGGATCCTGAGAAGAATATTCGGTGGCATCTGTGAAAATGGTGTTTGGAGAAGGAGGTACAACTACGAGATATATCACAGATATAAATATATATTTGGTGGTAAAGACGTACTATCTCAAGATCACAGCAGAACAACGCTCCTAGAAGAATCCTTATGTCTTAACCTGTGGGAATTAGAAGTAGGGGTAGGCCAAAACTCAGATGGAGGGATGGTGAAGATGAGGATTGTAGAAAAATAGGCGCAGCAAACTGGCAATGGATAGAACTGACTGGCATAATAGACTTGGGAAAGTGGAGGCTCTTTTATAGGGCTGTAGCACCAATGATGATGATGAATTTAAACTGCTAATGACTTATCCCGTGTACTAAATAAATAAAAATAAATTGTTAGCAAATACTCGGCAGTGATAAATCTCTTTCTGATTAATATATTATGTAAAAAATATTTAGTTCTTACCTATTACAAATGATCCAATCGCAACAACCAAACTAAAAACATCTAAATATTGGTACTGACCATGTAAAGCTACTGCAAGGTTTAATGGCGGTAGCAACGCGACTACGAACCTTGTGCTAGACCTAGCTGCCAAAAAGGCGCATGTTAACATGGCGATTAGCATAAATGCACAGTGCCATATGATAATATATATTCTATCTATAGCTGTATCTGTTCCACCTAATGCCGCTACTATCCATGTAAGTCTTTCTTCTAACGATAACCAAGTTCCTTTGACTAGTACAACCAAATCACTAACTGTTTTGTTCATTTCTTGCAGGCTTTTAAATGTTGATCTGTATTGCCGGTTGAAGTCTTCATTTTGTTTAATTAATAATGATGAAGATTTTTCTAAAAATAAAACCATTTCAAATTAAACTATTGGGAAAAATTAAATCATTACATTACAAATTTAATAATAATTAAATTAATAGAATTAAACTAAATTATAAAAAAACAGATAAATTGGATTTATACCATCATTTGAGAATGAAACCTACAAAAACAACCATAATATGTATTATTGCATCAACATGGGAACAGTGGTTTCACAAGAGCAAACAATAAGCTGTTCAACAAGATACCAACCTTAACAGAAATTAGACAAGAGGATTGTCTCAGCCTGGTCTCATTTACCATCCTTATGGATCATACAAAAAAGATCACAGAATATTCTACTCAGGGTCACTAGATGGAAAACTAGAGCATGGAGTTGGTGTGATAATAATGAGAAAAATTAGTAGATGTATTTTAAATTTTGTCCCAGTGTCCAACAGAGTAATACTACGGCAAATAAGAGCCAATCCAGTGAATATAAACATAATACAAATATACGCCCCCACTGCAGATAAAGACGACGAGGAAGTAGAGACTCTCTACCAAAGCATAGAGGATATATTAGAACGAATACCTAAACATGAAGTCAGCATCATAATGGGGGATTTCAATGCAAAACTTGGAGCAGAACGGAAAACGTCTCTAATCGGACCTTTTGGGTTAGGACAAAGAAACGAAAGAGGTGACAGACTAGAAATATTCGCAGAAGATAACGAGCTCGTGGTTCTGAACACATTTTATAAACTACCACCAAGGAGATTGTATACATGGAAGGCATCAGCAGATAAACCCCATAACGTAATTAGGAACCAGATAGATTATATATTGGTAAATAGAAGATTCAGAAACAGTTTTAAATCTGTCAAAACATATCCAGGAGAGGACATTGAATCTGACCACTTACCTTTAGTGGGAGTTATGGATGTGAGACTGAAGACAATAAAGAAAAAGTCTAGACTTAACTACGACATGACAGCCCTGCAACATCCGGAAGTTAAAAAGCAAGTGGGGTAATATATTAACAACCAAGTTAAACAACTAAAAGAAGAAAATAACATCCAACGAGAAATCAATCAATTCGAAGAAATAATTAAGAAAACTATACAAGATCTGCTAAAACCAAACAAAGAAACAAAGAAGAAATCTTGGATGACTCCAGAAATCCTTCACTTAATGGAACGCAGAAGGTTAATTAAAGGAAATAAAGATGAGTATAAAAAATGCAGGCTTACATCAGAAGAAAAATAAGAGAAGCTAAAGAAAAAGAAGCTGTAGAGAAATGTAAAGAAATAGAAAGACTACAAGCCAAGCATGACAATTTTAATGTACACAAAAAGGTAAAAGAAATAACGGGCACTTTTAAAAAGCGAACACAAATGAAACTCATAGACACCAATGGAAAATTAATCATTGACACCCAAGAGATGAAAGACAAATGGAGAATATATTTGGAGACACTTTTTCAAGATCAAAGAACGGATTGTAGGCATCCATTTTCAGAGAGGATGACGGTCCCGGACATACTTAAATCCGAGGTAGAAGAAGCAATAAAACGGATGAAAAGCAGGAAAGCTGTAGGGCCTGATAATATCGAAGCTGAATTTTTAAAACTCTTGGAGGAAGAAGGAATAATTTGGATCACGGCTATCTTCAATAAAATATAGAATACAGGAATCATCCCCGATAAATGGCTAGAATCAGAATTCATAGCGATACCTAAAAAACAGGGGGCTAAAAAGTGCGAAGAATATCGAACAATCAGCCTAATGAGCCACATGTTGAAACTGTTTCTTAGAGTCATCCATGGAGGAATTTATAAGTAGTGCGAGGAACAAATATCGGACAGACAGTTCGGCTTCATTAACGCAGTGGGTACCAGAGAGGCACTTTTCGGAGTACAGGTACTGATCAAAAATGCAGGGACGTTAACTGCGACGTATACGCGTGCTTGATCGACTATGAAAAGGCATTTGATAGAGTTCAACATCAAAAGATGATAAATATTTTAAAAGAGGCAGACCTGGATGACAAAGACCTCAGAATAATTTCAGAACTCTGGAATCAGACCGCATACATGAAAATTAACGGAGAAGAAACAGATCACATAAAAATACTACGTAGAGTTAGACAGGGATGTATTCTATCGCCGTTGATATTTAATATGTACTCAAAGAAAATTTTTAACGAGGCTCTTTACGGAATAGACGAAGGCATCCTTCTAAATGGTGAAAGAGTAAACAATGTTAGATATGCCGACGACACCATGGTGATAGCAGATAGTTTAGAGGGACTTCAGAGGCTAATGGACAGAATAAACGAGTACAGTCAACAGTACGGACTAAACATTAATACCCACAAAACGAAACAAATGATTATCAGCAAGGAGAATATAAACGGGGCTCATCTATACATTAATGGGACGCAGATAGAGCGAGTAAAACAGTATTGTTACCTGGGAACTATTATTAACGAAAACTGGAGCAATTTACAGGAAATAAAGTGCCGCATGGGAAAGGCAAGAACGGTCTTTAACAAAATGAGCGCCATCTTCAAAAGTCACAACATATCCCTTGATACAAAAATGAGACATTTGAGATGCTATGTTTTCTCTGTGTTGTTGTACGGGGCGGAGGCATGGACGCTTACAGACACCACTATTAAAAAACTTGAAGCATTTGAGATGTGGCTTTATAGAAGAATGCTGAGAATATCATGGACAGCAAGGATCACGAACAAGGAAGTTCTAGGAAAAATGAAGAAGGAACCAGAGATTGTGTTTACAATCAAACGCATAAAATTGCAATATCTGGGACACGTTATGAGAAATGAGCACCGTTACTCCTGCTACAGTCTATATTGCAAGGTAAAGTCAAAGGTAAGCGAGGACCCGGTAGAAGGAGAATATCATGGCTGCGGAATTTAAGAACATGGTTTAAGAAAACCTCAACGGAGCTGTTTCGAGCCGCAGCGAGCAAGGTTATGATTGCCAATATGATTTCCAACATCCGAAACGGATAGGAACCAGAAGAAGAAGATGGATCATATCATGAAAGAAGTGAAAACTGCAAGAAGAAGTTGGAGAATAGACAATACAGAATTTAAAATATTTTGCTATACTGATGATGAAGTGATAATATGTGAAGATGAGGACAATCTATAGTGACTACTATACAGATTTGAAATGGTAGCAAAAAAATTAAATAGACAAATTAAAATAATGCCTGAAATGAAGAACCTAAATCAATTATTGGCAAGATATAGTGAGGAGCAGTGATATCAGGACCCTTTATAACATCCAAGACATGGTAAAATAGTCTAGAGCTAGAAAAAGAGGATGGTGAGATCACATTGATACAATGGGTGACAATTGACTTGCAAATATTCCAAATTAAGAGAAACTAAACACCACTCGACCATCTGGAAGACCCTTTAACTTTAAGACATTTTCTTAAAATAAAAAGGAAAATATTATCAATAAATAATTCATATACATTATCAAAAACTCAAAAAAAAACTGAAGCTCCACCAATGTCATTTGTAACAAACATTTTAGAATTGTTAATCTAATGAAATGTTAGTAACTTGTAGTTGCACATCTACTGTTAATTACCTTCACATGACTATATGACAGCAATTACATTTTTAATGGTATTTTTTCCCTTCTTCCATACTGCATTCATATCTTCCCATTCTTTAGTTACTACATCCATCAGTGTAAAAAATAGACATATCCATATATTAATTTAATATTTAGGAAAACAAGCATTTGAACAATCATAATTTTTCAATTTAGACAATAAATACTACATAAGAGAAAAAAACTTGTAATTTGAAATGATGGACCTAGATCTGATATTTGTGTGCATCATTTTTGTAAAAAATTGGAATTATGCAGTGTTTTCCATATTTATAGACCTTGGTCTGAAATTATTTCCATAACAACTTTACTAAATCCATTCATGGACTGGTTTGAAACTTACGTTGAGAATTCTACACACTATTGAGAAAATAGAGAATATTATCCCTACCATTTCCAACTGTCGAATGTGAAAAATCAGGTTTTTCAGATTTGATACCTTGTCCTTGCATTAGATGTGATACACCTTGTAGCAAAATATCGAAATTGTAGCTTATAAGGAACGCGGGAAAAAATACCATTTTGTCATTTTGTTTTGCTCAAAATATCGAATATACTGCAAACTGACAAAAATGAAATATTCGATACTTTTGTTTTGTATAAATATAACTAAAGACATTATTTGTACAACGCAAAATGACGAATGTGTCACATTGATTAGTTTCAGTGTTGTAATTAATACAATTATTCAATTACAATCTGCAAATTTTCGAAAATACTAAACATTAATGACAAGAAGAAAACGTATGTGTTCACAATTGTGTAAATTGTTTTTTCCAAGAAGTTCTTTCAGTGAGGCACTTTATGAAGAAACTTTTCATGAATACTAGCATTGACGTAAACTTTTTATCTCTTGAAACCAAACAAAAAAGAGGCAAACAAAATAGTACAAACCCTGTTAAAGCATACGAAGAAAGGCTCCCAATCATAGATTTGAAGAAAAAAAACCTCGTGTCACCATGTGAACATAATATAACACCTAGGCCATACCACCAATATTACCAATCTTTACCAACATCTGGTACTGCCAGATATTGTCTTCCAACCTGACGCCACTGAAGCATTGATAACATTTAATTCAAAATTTAAAACTTTGAATTTAACATTATTTTACAACAATTGAGGGTAATCACTGAGTACTTGAGGTATCTACAGGACGTGAAGTTCCATAATTAATGTGTTGTGATTATTTTTAACTTTAATGTTTGTTACGTTTCTAATTACATTAATTTTCTAGCAATAAATACTGTCATAAAAATAGTTTTAATAATTTCTTTAAACGTAATTTTCCCATTTTATCTTACAACTTCAATTTTTAATTAAATGATTTGTAATAAACTTTGTAAAAACATTAAAATTATTTTAATTCTCCTCCTTTTCAATTAAGAATATGAATGTGTTAAAATTAGATCTATTAGCTCCGTGCGTGACCATGGCAGGGGTACATTGAAACGATGCCAGCGTGTGTAGCGGCGAAATATGACAAAATTGGAATATTGGACAAAATATTTTTACGCATAAGTTTTATCAAAAATGTGTGCAAATACATGTTGCGTATTTAATTCTGCTAATAATAGCAAAAACAGTGAGTGTAGTTTTTATAGGTTCCCAAAGATTACATATAAATTAGAGAAAAGAAAAAGATGAATTCGTGATATTAATATGAAAAAGTAAATATCACATTTTTTCATTTTTATGCAATTGAAATAGGAACAATTTAAATAATTTACCTTGAATGATATTTCATAAGGCTTCAAGCTAACTGCAGATGACTTTAGCTTTTATATCATAACTTTTACTATTATTGTTTTTAATTATATGCTCTTTTGCGTGAAAAACTTGATTTGCCAGTACTAGATTTTTCGCTTTCTTTTCCGTTTGGAGTTGAAAAGATATATTATGATGAATTTTGAGAAACTCAGTTTTTAATACTACATTTATTTTGTACATAAACTGAAAAAATATAGTTAAAAAACTAATTTATTAATAATTGTCAATTTCGCATGTATTTAACAATGTCAAACATATGTCATATATTTAACCTGAAAATTGGGACTCCAAAATTGTCAGATGAAGGCGGTAGGTGTCGCATCAGTCACGCACGGAGCGAATATGAACTGTTAAAAATGTCACATTCGCAATTTTGAAACATTCGACCAAAACAAATCGGTGATTAATACAAAAAGCAAAGTAACAAATGTGATTTTTTGAAGAAGAAAACGGTAAACGGTCAATTTTCTTATCACTCTAAATAATATAAAAAATTTTCCATTTATCAAGGCGCTGATTTAGGATTCTGTAAAAAAGAGTTATCTTCATCTCCTGAAAAGTACCACTTTTCACATTCGACATAATAACATGATATAATAACAATACCAAATGATATATCAGTGAGTGTTGACATAATTTCACTGTTTATTGGCATGCCATACATTTTCCAGAAGAATCACATTTTTTTTCATCCTGCATTACAAAATGTCAGTAATTGAAAACTGTTTTGTGGAAAAATTCGTTTTATATTCTATACAATTAGAAGATAAAAGACATGTGTTAAAAACTTCTTAAAATTGACAAATTCAACTTTAAAAATACCAAAGATAAATCAGTTTTGAATAAAAATCAGCAATCAGCTAGTAATAACTTACCTATTTTTTCAAAGATCTCTTTAGTTTTTTCTTGAATAATGAGCAAATCATTAAGTAACTCCCTATGATTAATTTTACTTTCATCAGTCTGATCCTGTAATTGATTTAAAGAAGTTTCTAATTTCTCTTGTACTGCTTTTGTCATTATAACTAAGTTGTCGTGGGTCTCTCTGATCAATTTTTTTTCGTCAGATAATCTTTTAATATTATCCTCAATGGCTAGTTGTCCCACAAACTGTGCTTTTTTCAAATCGTCCTGCTGTTCAAACAAATTTCTCTGACCTTCTTTAAGAGTATAGTATGTTTTTTCTGTAATGTCTTTTAAACCTTGCTGTGTATTTGTAATCTCTCCTAGATTTTTTAATTGATTTTTAGCTGCCTCCATTAGTCGATTCACAGTATGTTCTGCCAAACCTCGGAACTGACTCTGTCTTATAGAATAACAAACTGCTCTTGCTCTATTGCTCATTAGGTGATAACTTGTCCAAGTGTCAGAGTCCATAGATATTGTACAATCTTTGATAGACATTTCATCTGTACAAGCATATATAGGTCTTCCTTCAACCCAAGACTGACAGTTTAATAGGTGTACTGCCATCTTTGCTAACTGCTCATCATTTAGTTTATCACAATCAGATTTTAATTTCAAGATCACCTAGAAAGAAAAAACAAGTTAATTGATAATAAAGGTTCCTAATTAATATTGATTATTGTGCAAAATATTTATAAACTACACACAGATCTTGTTGTTTGTTAGGGTTATATTTCATAAACTAATATTTAAACTAAAATAGTTTTTACATTATATTATCCTCCTGCTAGATAATCATTTTCCAGGTGAAATCTCTAAGTAGGAACACAGTGAAGTGTTCAAGCAAAACCACTCGGGAGCCACAAGAGCAGTAGAGTAGCAGATAGTTGACCAAGGCAGTAATTGCAAATAACAAGAAAGTTATACTGACACATCAGTGTATAAAAAACATTCAAAAGTGCAAAAAGTAAAGCACCAAAAACTTTTGAACTTAAATAAATTCAAGTACAATTACTAATATTACTGATAATGAAATAGGAAAGTAGTCAGCAAATGAAACATCAAGTTATTGCTTATGTATGTACACTATATAACTGCAAAAATATGAAAATTGTAAAGAAAACTGGTAATAGAGCTATAATATTGATAATAATACAATAGTTACCCTATGTTGACAAGAGTCAAGCTCAGACAAAACAAGATCTGTTAGTTTTGCAGCTTCCTTCAAGAAGTTTTCGTCAGTCGATGATATTTCGTAAGGTATTTTCTGTTGATAAATTTCAATATTTTCATTGTCTTCTTGGTGTTTCTGCTGAAAACTAAGAAATGTTCCAATGTCTTTAATCCAATTCCCAAAAATTACATGTCCTTGTAAAAATAGAACTAGATATAAGCAGTAAACGTGATTACCGATCTTCATTCCTTAAAATAATAAATATTTGATTAAAATTCAATAATTACGATATTTCTTATTCAAATTTCGACCGTTTTAACCGCTCTAACGGTTTAACGGAAATTACTTGCAACCTGCACTTCTTTTATTTTGGTTTACAGCTGTTTCGCTAACTTGAAGTTTGCTACATTTATAGATTTCTTCTTTTTGTTTATAATGTTATCCCCATGTTATCCCGAAATGAGTGCACATGGTTTTAAAGTACTTAAACTTCATCTAATTTACTTACCGTTACACGTCATCTGCGTCATAATCCGTGAGATCACATGATACCAACACGAAATATTTAGGCGGTAGGTGTGTTCTTTTTTAGAATCACTTTACCGAGTACACTGGCATTACAGCCACTAGACATATTTCATTATATATGCGTAGAAATATTATTTTAAGATTTCTATTACTGTTAACTTGAAGAAATACACAATAATATGTTTCATTTAATTTGTATAAATGCATTATAAAGCGTTTTTATGAAGAATATTTGTTCGGAACACACTGTAACTATAATCGAACGAAGGTGATATTTTGGCATAAATTTTTAACAGTTATTTGACAGTTGCGGTGTTGTAGTTTATTATTTTGAATTTTAAAGTGAATACCTCATGTTTTATATTTTTACCTATTTAATAAAATCTGTTCGTTTTAGAACAAAATTAGTGTGTTTTATTTCAAAAATTTTACGTAAAAATTTAAATAGTCGTTGTAAAGAGATGGTAATACCACAGAATAATAAACAATCAGAATGCCCACTCTCAGATGCCGCCTTTGAACTTTTTCAGCACGCGAGTCATGTTTTAGAAAGAAACACATAACACAGACATATGATTTGCGAGGTTATGTAATTTATGTTTAATTACACATAAATATATTTAAAATATATTTATGTTTAATTATATTATTATTTATGTTATTATATTTAACAATGTTAATATAATTGTATAGTATGTCTATAATTTTCGTAAGTCAATTAAACCGGGTTAATTTTTCTATGCACACCACATAAACAACTCTGGTTCCTTCTAAAACATGGCGGAACGTCTGCGCGAACGAGATGCGCGTACTTAATTTTCCATGGAGAATGAGCATTCTGATCGTTTATTATTCTGTGGTAATACTTTTGCAATAATTATGTGACCTATTTGTTTTAAAATAGATTCAGGATTTTTTATATTTTGGCAACTATGTCAACTTCGATCTCTGTCAATGATAATGACGTAAAACAGTTAGTAAATTAGATGAAGTATACATAAAAAGTATATCCAATGGCGTAGATATTCCCAACCATGGCCAGCAATTCGCAATAAAGACTGCCATTTCCCATAGTACATATTATAAATGTCTCAACTCAATTGACGCTGCTTTGCCGATACACAAAATCAACACATTTTAGAAGAGCTTGTTCCATTTCTCACAACTTCTAGCCGACCATCTTAACACGTCTTAAACCATTTCTTAAACGTCAATTTTTAAAGAATTTTTACATATGGAATCAGAGCAAATGGACCTAACCCTGTTTTGTAATCCAACCACACCACTATCACAATCACAGAACAGTAATCAATGTGTCACTATTTACTGTGACCGATTTATTTCTTGTGAGTTTATGACAGTGACACGTATTGTGTGTAACCTATATATCTTCTTAATATAACATAACATAAACAAAGTTGTTACTGACATTTATTTAAATTATTTACCGATAAACGCTATCATATTTATTCAATAAAAATTTATTTATTTATTGTAAATAAATTTTTGACATCAAATATTGGTTAAATATCATCTATAAGTCAGATATTGTTGAAAAGTTCATAGTTCAAGGTGTTCAAATTATGTTCTAATATTCTGAACAACTCGCAAATGTTTCACACAGTTGGTCTAACCGTAAAAAACAGAATGAGCGAAGCCAAAAAGTTATATGAATCTTTAAGTTTGGTGGGTTCTGTCTCTCTAGCTGTATCATTGCCATGGATCATATTTAGAATATGCAGAGCTTTGTACTTACAAAAGGGCCTAAATGAGTTATTTGGAAAGGTAAGGTTATAAATAACTATGTTTTACTAACAACAGTCTCGATGCATTTCCACAGTTTTAATTTGAACACAAAAATTTCCCTTTAGTAAATAAAAATTATTTTTAAGGTGGTGGTTATTACTGGCGCAAGTTCAGGATTAGGAGAAGCTCTAGCCCATGAATTTTACAAAAAAGGGTGCCAAGTAGTATTATGTGCAAGGAGAAGACAAGAATTAGAAAGGGTTAGAACCGATTTGTTACATTCACATAGTACTGTACAAACACATCCTCCTATTATCATCCCTCTTGACTTAGCAGATATTGATAACTTACTAGAACAAGTAAAGAAAATATTATCAATCACAGGAAAAATAGACATACTAATTAATAATGGTGGAGTATCTCATAGAGGTAATGTACTGTCAACCAATGTTGATGTTGATATGAAGATCATGATGGTTAATTATTTTGGCACTATTGCTTTAACAAAAGGTAATTTGAACTTTACTTATATACTACAGTGGAATCTTAATTATCCATCAGGGCACTGGACCAAGGGTATGACGAAAAACTAAAAGACTGTTAACAGAACATTTAAAAAAATATATAAAAATTCATAGTACAACTTAAATTCATAGTTCAAATTTTATTTGTATGTTTTGTTTGACAATATACGATGGATTTGTGTTCATACAATCGAATCAATTTGGTTTAAAACATTCTGTTTTACTGTTCCTTCACACTTTGCAACATCTGAATTTCTTAATCAATTGGCGTAAGATTATGCAATCTACTTTTGTGGCTTCTTCATTATCTGTCAGCAACCGATAGCTGTTTATGTCCTCATCACAAATTAAACATTTGTTTATGTCATCTTTAGGCAACGAAAGCAAAATAGTTGATTCAGTCATAACTTCATTTGTTACGCTTCACACTTGGCTGTAACAGGTGCAATTTCATCTTTGGTTGATTTGCGCCATAATTTATTCCATGCTCTTTTCAGCGTTACTTCCGTTTTTAAAATTCTATGCTTTCCAGTATTCTTGCAAATAGTATTCCCCTTCCATAATGAATAACTTTTTTCCTGTATTGTCTTTTAAAAGTGTTAATGACCGATTGATCCATAGGTTATATCAATAATGTTGTATACATAGACAGAAAAAGGACTGATATTTGGCCAGGTGCATTGTTCAAAATGAGAAATGCCTTTGTTCATATTCGAAAACTAGTGTTTTCGTTGGCAATGCTTTGTAGTTTAAACCAGTTTCATCCGCATTGAACACTTGATCATGTGTCAAACTATATTCATCAATTATAGCTCAAATTTTTTTTATATTCGTCAACAACTTCAACACTTGAGGCGCTAAACTTTTCACCTTCGATTTTCAGTTCACATTTACCGTGATGCTTCTTTTGACTGAAGGATCGCCATTTTCATGTTGAAAAACAACGCTTTTTTGACAACAATTGGTCCAGACAAAGGAACACCATTTGTGGATTTTTTCCGCATTCATTTGTCATTGTTTAAATTGTGATTGAATCGCTGGCTGTTAGAACAAAATTGTTTAGATAAACATAATGACTGAATTTTTGCTTATGTAGTCAATACATAACTTTAGTTGTAAGGACCCTGACAGTTAACAGAGGTGACAGTTAATGGAGAGACAGATAATTGAGGTTTCACTGTATATCCTATCAAATATCTTTAAGTATTTTACATGGTACTCATTTTTTATTTATACTATTAAGTATAGTCATAGTAATACTCAGTATAGTCACAGCTCTAACTTCTTAGGCAATCTCACTCTTACTCTTTTTAAGATTTTTCTTATTCCATGGTCTAATTCTTGTACAATTGGTACAATTAAGAAGCATTTCTAATGCAAAGTACTTTCCAGTTAATCTAGAAATACTTACATGATTTTTATGGTTTGCTCTTTGCACCTTACACTTAATTTTACATTATCACTTTTGTAAGTCATGATTATTGGAAAAGAAATTAAATAATAAAGTCTTTTGTATAAAAACTTTATTATATTATTTAATTTCATTTTTTAAGTTTTAACAGTTATTAAGCTTTAATTAACATTTTAATTTTAATTAGAAATTAGGTAATAAAGTTTTTTTTTTTCTAAATTAATGTTTAATGTATGTTGTAACTATATAATTTGTCTACCACATTGGGTATCACTTATAGGGGGTTGAAAGTGGTGACTGAGCAATTACTGGGCTGGAGGTAGGGTAATCAAACAAACCAAAACATTTGCTAAAAACCCACCCTTTTTTTGGGTTGGAGAGTTGGGTCGTAAGTAAGTAAATAAGAGAGGGACTGGATGGGGCTAACTACAAAGAAAAAAATCAAAAAAAAAATACTTATAGAGATTTCGTGGGCAACAAAACACAAGGAATGTTCCTAAACTATTTGAAATGGACGCCATTTAAAAAAATCCTCTTGCTGGATACAAAGAAAGGCTTTTCTTTCCTAAAGAATATTAAAGGATGAAAATATTTTTAAAGGCAATAAGTCTACAACTCCTGGTTTAGAGAGAAACATTACATATTTGTTATTACTTTACATCAACAGTTATTACAAATAATAATAACAAAATGTATCAGCAAATCTTACAGGTTGGGTGACAGTTACAACAATTTTACAACTAGTTTAAAATACTTAAATAATTATTAGAAATAAAATTAAGAAATGAATCAAAAACACTGCAAACGACACACAACTGTGTCCCACACAAACTGCAAATAATCTGGGGTGACCATGGAATACAAAATGGACAATTCTTGGGAAGTTCAACACTGACTCAGGCTTCGGATTAAGCTGAGTGACAACAAACTGCAATCTTCAAAACTCGGCCACTCAATTTCTTTAAACCATGTATACCTCTCAAATGGTTGAAAACGCTGTCTTACAAATCTCTCACATAGGGCACAGCACAACCAATCAGTGATTAACTCAACAAAAACTGCCAAATAGAACCTTGAACCCAAATTCACCTCTCAACTTAAAAAAATGCTGGCTCTTGAAGATTACACGCCGAAAGCTATCTCTTTCCAAATCTAAATCTCCCTCCTCACTAACTACTAACTGCTACTACCACTTTACACCTGAATTTCCGATAACAAAAAACGAATAACGAAAAACCATTACGACTTTAAAAAAGAAAAATCCGGACTAAACAATGAACTGACTCTTATATAAACAAACTATGTCTGTGTTATATAAACAAACTAAAAATGTTTATATTGTCAATCTCAGCGACGCAAAAAGATTGAGAATATTTTTCGGTGTTTTAACATATATGAGGGGAAATACAAATGCTACAATGTTTAACATATTTATAGATTTTTAATAACCTATGTTCATAGGAAATAAAGTATTGCATTTTTTAGATTATTTTAGTTAGAATTAGGTTTGTGTTACCTTTTAAATCTGGGCATACCCATTGAAAAGGACTAATTTTTGAAAATATCTGAGGTGAACCATGCCTTCTTAGACGAAACGGGCATATGATGCATTATATCTTTTAAAACTCTAGGTTTACGAAATTTGCCAATTACCAACTATTATAGGAGTCAAAAACGCCATCGGCGTTAACACAAAGCAGTGCCGAGATCCTGTCCTTGCTGATTTTTATTCCATAATTCGATTTTTCATATTTAGAGGCTTGTGCGCTTTCAGGCAAAGTACGCCATAACAAACCAGTTTCGTCAACATTGTAAATCTGAGACTCTATATTTTAACAGCATTTCGTTACTTATATGTGCTACTAATTTTTGCCTAAAAGGTTATCTTTCTTCTTCTGGTGGACTTGAAGCTTGGCCGTAAATTTTTTTATTCATGATTCCGTGCCTTTTGCGAATGGCACCAGAGCCATTCATCACTTGTATGCCCATATGATTTGCTAATTTAATTGTAGTAGATTTCAATTTGACTGCTTAGACCGGGATCCCACGAGAACGTTGTTGGCCATACCATTTTAAGATTGCTTCTTCCAGTGAAGTTTCACGAGCCAATTTCATTTGTTTTCTGAGATTGCTGTGCTCTCCTACATCACACATTAATGTGGATTTATTTGTTTTGCTTTTGTTTTTTTTTATGTCCGAAAGTTTGCTTTTCTGTGCCATATTGATCACATATATGAGACACAGAAGCTCCAGACTCCCAACTTCTGTATATTCTTTAGTTTTTGATTGATCGTTAGATTGATTCTTTTTCGTTTGTCCATACTTAAAGGGTAGGATTGCGAAAATTTTAACTTATTTACTGGTGTATACTATGTGTTCATTCACAACGAAAAAACATTATTTTTCAGCAAAAAAGTATATAAATATTACTATTAGAAATGTGTCCTCTTATGCTAAATTTTATTGAAATTCTTTGTAAAATACAGTGTTATTTGACGGGTTAAGCATGTATAATATTAACAGTATGTTTTTATATTTTTTTTTTTACATTTTTCGGATTTTTTGTCCGCTATATCCGAAGTCCGTTAAATAGAGGTCCGTTAAATAGAGGTCCGTTAAATAGAGGTCCGTTATATAGAGGATTTATATTATATATATATATATATATATATATATATATATATATATATATATATAGTCCCAAGATTCCTAAGAGGAACATAGGGCTTCCACAAAGTGTCTCCAGCGAACTCTATTTCTGGCTAGTGCTTTGATTTCAAGCCAGGATTTTCCCATTGTTCTCCCTTCGTCCAGTACTGTCCTTCTCCAAGTTCCCTTAGGTCTGCCTACTTTCCGTCGGCCTTGGGGATTCCAATCCAGTGCTGTCCTGGCAATGTCATTTGGCGGTCTACGGAGTGTGTGGCCCAGCCATCTCCATTTTCTTCGCCTTATTTGCTTTATGACATTTTCTTGGTTGCTTTGGTTCCATAAATTTTCATTGGAGATTCGGTTAGGCCAAAATATACGAAGGATTTTTCGTAACGCTCTATTAATGAAAACTTGTAATTGGTGTACTATGGGTGCTGATATCTTCCACGTTTCGCAGCCATACAGTAATACAGCTTTTACATTTGTGTTGAAGATTTTTTGTTTCGTTTTAGTTGGGTAAATCCTGGATTTCCATATGTTGTTAAGCATGTTGTAGGCGTTGCGAGCCTTATTTATTCTTTCATGTACATCACGCTCTGTACCCCCATTACAGTCAATTATGCTGCCCAGATATACAAATTCCGCTACTCTCTCAATTTTCTGGTCGTTGATCATAATAGGTTGGTTGTTTCTGGTACCAAATCGCATTTCTTTGGTTTTGTTGGTGTTTATTTCTAGACCAACCTTCTTTGATTCTTCTTGTACTTTGTTTACTTGGAGTTGCATGTCCTGTTTTGTATGTGCTAGGAGGATATATCATCAGCGTAATCTAGGTCTTCCAGTCTGTTTGTTAATCCCCAGTAAATTCCTCTATTAGAGTTTACCTTTGTTAGTACGGAGTCCAGTACAATGTTAAATAGTAAAGGGGATAAAACACAGCCCTGCTTTACTCCGTTTAGCATAGCTATTGGGTCAGATGTTATGCCGTTGTGTAGGATTTTGCTTTCTGTGTCACTGTAGAGTTCTTTGATGAGATTTACTATTTTTTCTGGTATTCCTATTTCCTGCAGTGCTTTCCATATGGCCGTATGTGTGAGCGTGTCAAAAGCTCTCTTGAAGTCCACAAAGCACACAAAGAGAGGAGAGTTGAATTCCTGTGACTGTTCTACAATTATTCTTAGTGTGTTAATTTGGTCCACGCATGATCTGTTTGGTCTGAAACGGCTTGTTCCTTCCTCAACATTGGTTCTACACTCTTTGTTAGTCGGTTGTTTATAATTATTGCTGTTAATTTATTTATAGTATTCAGAAGTGTGATTCCTCTCCAGTTTTCGCAATATCTTCTGTCACCCTTTTTTGGTATCTTTATTATTAATCCCGTTTTCCATTCTTTGGGGAACTTTTCCTCTCTCCAAGCCCTTTTCAAGAGTGGTTGGATTAGCTCTGCCACTGTACCTGGGCAAGCTTTTAACAACTCTGGTGGAATATTGTCAGGGCCGGCTGCTTTGTGTGCTTTCAGTTTTTCTATGGCCATTTCTATTTCTTGCGTTGTTGGTTCGTTGGTGTTAATTCTCAGTTGGATATTGGGTATTAGGTTTTCTGCGTCTTCTGGTGGTGTTGGGACTGCACTTAGAGATTCGCTAAAATATTCATGCCATCTTTTGACTTGTTCCTGTGGCGTTGTAATATCTTCACCTGTAGCACTTTTTACAATTGGTTGGTGGGTAGTATATCTTTTATTGGCTAGTTGTTTAGTGATATTATATAATTGTCTCATGTTTTGATGTTCATCGGCGACTCGCGCTTCTTCGGCAAGATTTTCTGCCCACTTTCTTTTGTCTTTCTTTGCTGCCTTCTTGACAGCTTTATTCGCTTCTCTATAACTTTCTCTAAGTCGGTTCTTCTCTTCTTCTCTAAGTAAGTAAATATAGAGGATTTACTGTATTATAATTAAATTGATTCCTTGTGCGATCGGTACTCACCGGAGGGACCGCAGACGTTCGGATACAATTAGCGTCTCTTAGCAAAGACAATGACGTCGACTTTGCTAAGTATCAAGACAATTACTCTACACACACACTACACTAGGTACCTGACTGTACCATGCCAATGATCATTAGTTGTCGAGGCATTAACTCAAAAAAAAAATTTGATTTATGTGTATGTTGGATATTACTACATAAAACTTTGTGAAATTTTTATAAATTATTTGTTTTTAAAATTTTCAGCGGTTCTCTTGGACATGGAGAAAAGAAAAGATGGACAAATTGTTTTCGTTAGTTCTGTGCAAGGTTTAATAGCTCTTCCTGAAAGATCTGCCTATAGCGCTTCAAAGCATGCATTACAAGCTTTCAGTGACAGTTTAAGAGCAGAAATGACAGCCAGTAATATTTCTGTAACCGTTGTTAGCCCTGGGTACATCAAAACTAACCTGTCATTGAATGCTTTAACAGGATCTGGGGCGAGTCATGGAGAAATGGACAGCAATACTGAGAACGGATATTCTCCTGAATATGTTGCAAAAACGATTTTAAAAGCAGTAGCTGAAAAGAAGAAGGAAATTGTAGTTTCATCACTGCTTCCCCGGGTAGCGATATTTCTGAGAAAATTTTTACCTTCAGTGTTTTTCCTAGTCATGGCCAAAAGGGCGAAAAAGTCTAGTTTAAAACAATAGTTTGATATTCTAAGTAACATCTGTAAGCAGCAATTGAAATTTGAGTAGGTATTTATTAAATTTGGGTAGGTATTTTTAAGAGTAATACAAATTGATTTTCATTTACCATCAGTATCATCACATTTGGATTATGTTATTGTTTAAGTCAAGTTTCATGACAATATTTTTTATTTTTAAAAAAATTGCATGATATTGGACAAGAAGATATTACATTGTTCCTTAATATTGCAAATAATGTGAAATATTTTGTGATATACTGTTAAAGACTGTTTTAGGCACTTTGTGCTTATGACATAATGCTGACAGTTTATAACTATTTTTTGAACTATTTAGAGTGGTAGAAGATTTTATTAATTATATTTTTGTGTCTGCTATATTTATTTAAAAATTGTTTTATGTAAATGTTATTTGTAAAAAAAATACACTAGATAAATAAAGGATAGATAAACACTCTCGCAAACTAACTATTATAGTTAAAACTGATTCACTGAGTACTTTGTTTATTATAGTTAAAAGTGGTATACATGTATAAATACCTGTTACTTTTTAGAAGTAGTAGATGTAAGAAATAGTTTCACAAATGTTAGATTTTATATTTTCCACTACTAGACCATATGTGACTTTTTGTAATTTTACATGTCTAATCTAGTCGTTTTGTCTATTAAAGGTTTGATACAAACTAGAATTATAATTATTAAAAAACCTAGTCATGGGCGCCACCAGGAATATTTTTAGGGAGCTCAAAAATGGTTCATTTAATTGAAAAATATCGTTTTGAAATATTAACCCAGAACTGATATCGTGGGGTCAAATTTGACCCCATGACTTGAAATTTCATGCGTCACTGGTAGGTAGTTTGGTAAACGACCTTGTTATTCCGAATTGACGAATTTAAAAGTTGACGTAAGTGGCTTATCAAGCGATGAATGTGAAACAGCATCTAATAATGAAACAAAATTTAACTATGGACGGAACAGATATAAGTGTCTTCTTGGACCTGCTTTGAAACCAAATCATCCAGTCCACTTGAATCCTGGTCACTTGTTATAACTCCTGACATGTTGGCCTCTATTCTACAGTACACAAATGAAAAAATTACAGAGCTCAGTGTGAATTATGGGGAAACCTGTACATTTGTCGATCATCTAAATAAAGGTGAACTTAGGCTTTTTGGGTCTGTTTTACCTTTCAGGTATAATAACGTCTAATAATGAGAAGGTCGATTAATTATTTTTGACAAGTGTTTTAGGTAGGCAAATTTTTCGTGCTACAATGTAAAAGAATACTTCTTATTTCTTCTCACAGCAATGAGATTTTACAACCATGAAATAAGAGAGCAAAAGAAGGCCAACGGAGATCGACTTGGAGTAATGTCCTATTTATTTAACTGTTTCGTATCTAACAGTATAACAAACTACACCTGTTCCGAATATGTTACAGTGGACGAGATGGT